AGAACAACATCATGCATATCTTTCAAATACATGAATCTGAAGCCTGTGTTGCACAGTGAATCAAGCTGGGGACAAGCTCTGTGAGGCTCAGGAATGGGGCAGGGGCTCTGGCTTCCTCTGTTCTGGGCTAATGCCTCCTTTGGCTGAATCAGCCCCTGCCCACCCCAGCCACTGGGGACCCAAGATGTCTGAGAGCCCTTTGTCCCTGGCAGCTCACCGGAAACATCTTAGACTTGGATCCCGTTCAAAGCCCACTTTCCCCACAGCGGGACTGGGATGAAGGGGGCCTTCGAGGCATGCTACCCTGTCACCTTTCCCGCCTCCACATGCTTTCAATCCCACGGCAGCCTGTGGGTCCTGGGAAGAAAGCCAAGCACCTCATCTCCACGGAGGCCCAAGATTGTCCACGTCACCCCTGCCCTCCAGTCCCAGAACCGCCCGGGCAGGAAACAAGGTCTTCATTTGACAGACGAAGAAGTGAAGGCTCAGAGAGGGACAGGAACTTGCCCAAGGTCATCCAGCAAAGTGAAGGGGTATCCAGAGTATTTTCGGAAAGGAAGAGCCCAGCTCCCACCTGGAGAAAGGATGAGGATAGCTGATGCTCCCTGGAAAGGGCCAGGTGGGGGGGTCAATCAGTTCTCGTAAACCCTTTCTTTCCTCCCCTGGGGTCAAGGAAGGGGGCAGAGAGGGAAGGAGCTCTGGGATGGCCAGCTGCGGGCCTGGGTTCCAGTCCAGTCCTCCCCCACCTTTCAGAAGTTCCCCTGCCCAAGGGCAGCAGGCAAGCCTAGCTGGGTTGTTGAAGGGGACACTGTGAGGGGTGGTGGTGGTTGTGGGTGGAGTGGGGAGGCTGGACTTATTCCTGAACCTTACTGGTTTAGACAGCCAGCGGGGTGATTTTTTGGCTGCTCAGATGAATTTCTGGAAAAATAACAATGTTCACAGAACCTGAGCATTGCAGAGCCAGGAGGGACCCTCAGTGTCATCTACACCAGGCCCTCGCCAAGACGTCAACTCTCCTGCCACATCTTCAGCCAGTGGGCACACTGCCCCTGCTCAAACACTTCTCCTGATGGGAAACTCGCCACCCTCGGGGGCTCCGGGCCATCCCCGGACAGCTTTGGTTTGCTGGAAATTATTCCACTGGCGGAGCTAAGGTCTGCCTCTCTCCTTCTTTCCTGCCTTCATTCCTTTCTTCCTCCCCTTCTTTCTGCTTCCTTCCCTTCCTCTTTCTCTGTCTACACATCTGTTGAGCACCATCTTCATGTCAGATGAGGATACAAAAACAAAATCCCATGACCTCTGACATTAAGCTGCTCACAGTCCAAGAGAGGAGCAGATACACAACTAGATAGTCACAACACTGGACACTGGGTATTATGATAGATGCTAAGACAGCACACAGGAATCAGAGGGGGCTTCCTGGAGGAGGTGCTATCTGTGTTGCTCCTCAGTGGATGAGCAGTTACAGGGGAGAGAAGGGAGTTTCCAGGGGTAGGGAGCAGCACGTGTGAAACATCCTGTCTATTCTAGAGATGACTGCACATCACGCTGGCCAGGCACAGGGTAAGAGACATGAGAGACATGGCTGACAAGGTCAGCAGGGTTGGGTCATGAAGGGTCTAGAGGACCCATGGGTCAGGCTGAGGACTTTGGTTCTTATCTCACAGTCACTGAAAAGCTATCACCCCAGTCCCAATTCTGTTGTCTGCCACACAGGATGCCGTCAAGCTGCAATTCCCTGGGAGAATTTCTCTTGTCCTTCACAGCATTTTTAATAGACTTTCCTTTTGGTAGAAGGACTTTCCCTCCTCTTTGGGATCCACTGTGACAATGGCACTGGGCTGGAGATTAGGCAAGTGGGACAAGGGGCCTGAGCACCTAGGCTTGCCCAGGTCTAGCTGAGGCCGGGAAGTTGTAGGTAACACAGTATTTAGCATGAAGGAAATATGCTTAGGATCTTTCAATGCAAGGACAAATTTGCTCATAGCCAGCACAAGGTTCCACGCTTCCTAGATCCCAGATCTTTGACTCTCAGGCCTGGAGGTGCCCTCAGCACCCCTTTGCAGCTCCCTGGCAGCCTGATTCTTCTCCCTCCACTGTGGATGACGGGGCTCTCCCTGTCTTCATCTGGCTGCTGGCGCATCCGACCCAGCACTGAAGGAAGACCTGGGGACATGGCCATTCCGACATGCCCCAGAGAGCCCTTCATCACACAGTCAGCTTTCACGAGAGATAGAGGACCCAGGGCCACACTAACATGCTGCTCCACCTTAAGCAAATCACTTCGCCTGCTGGGTCTCAGGCCTTTCATCTTTCCTGCCCGCCTCATGATCAAACAGAAAAGTCTAAGAAGTGCACACAAAGTTCTCAGAGGAGCAGGAGCATTTTATGAGGCTAGGCACGAAGAACATTTCTTGAAGAAATGTCAGTAAGTGGTGGATAGATCGTGCCAAAGGTGTGGGTGGCTGCTTATGGAATGGTGGTGCTCTGGCCTAGGATGAGAGAATTCAAGTACCCTAGCCATGCAGATTCCTGCATATGTGTCTCAAGTCTTTTGGGTCATAAGTCAGTAAGTTTAGTTCATTTTAGACCCTGGCCAACTGGTGGTCCTCAGGGATCAGTGAACTTTGGCACCAGATGTCTGACCATATTGGCTCTTGCTCTCCTATAGGTACATGCCTACTCCGTCAGTTAGTCCAGCCATCTTTCTTTAAACACTTGAATTAGGGTAAGGGAGATTTTAGGATCCCCTAATCTGCCCAGAGGAGGGATGTGGGAAAGACTAGGGCTGAATCTTCCTGAAGTTAGGGGCCAGGACGACGTAACCTAGCATTGTGCTGCTTGTCCCATCTTGATAATGAGTTCCTCTGAGCCAAGGAGAGTGGTTAGATTCAGCTCCAATACAGAGCCTGGCATTGCGTGTGCTCAATAATTACTCGCTGCATTAATTTACCTTCTTGGCCCAGTGCCTGGCACAGATCTGGGCACACGGTCAGGTGCCTGGACTGTTTACCCAAATGCTTCATCTTTAATTAACCTCAAGCTCCATCTCAATACATCTCATGCCATACTCTGCCCCAAACAGAGAGGAATCTGGCCTGTGTGTTTCTAATTCCTTTACACTTATCTCATCCAAATAGTGCTCTGCACGATCCGTTTGATGTCCAACTTCTGAGCCTGCTTTATAAGTCAGCTAAGTCCCTTCCCGCTCAGAAATAGGAAGTCGCATTTTTGCCAAGGATAAACCAACTCCAGCCTGGACTGAGGTCAAGTTCAGTTTAGAGCATGGTGCCCACGGGGCTGGCTGGGCCCTCTGAGACAGACCTCCAGTCTCCTGCCAGGTCTCAAGCTCAAACACGTCCATCAGGGCTGAGCTGTAAAGAATTCAGCTGCCTGCCAAGATGCCCGTGGGACTCCTGACCATCCCATGAGCTGCCCAGAACTGTGCCATCTCAGAAGGGAGACAGCTGCCAAGCTGGGAAAGATGGCACTGGGGCCAATCAGCTGCCATCAAGCCTGCCAGGGAAACCCGCAAAGCTGTAAAGCTGGGGTGCACGGGGCTGGGAGTCAGCAGGCCCACTAGGCTGTGCAGTCTTGGAGACGTGTCTCCCCTCCGTGGGCCTTATTATTCCTCCCACTGTTACTATTATCCATAAAGCGAAGGGTCCTTTCTGCTGTCAGGTTCCAGGACTCTGTAATTACTGAGGCACCTGCTCTGCGGGGTTTCAGGCCTGGGAGTTAGCCCACCTGGGTCCTCTGTCTCCTCAGCCACCACCTTGAGGAGCAGAGGGGCTAGTCTCTCGGAGTCCCTGTCACTTGCCTCCCCACTTGGCTGCTGTGCCTCCCCAGGTGCCCCACAGCTGTGCCCGTCTCTCAGCCTTTGATTTGCCAGGAAAGCTTCTCATGGGCTCCAAGATCTGGCGAGTCAGGACATGCAACACGTGGCACATGCTGTTGCCAGAGCCCTTTGGCCAGAGGGGCCAACATACGCAGCCAGCCAAAAGGTCTCTTGGTGGAGTGAAAGCTTGTGCTGGCCCTAGTTTGGGTGAGATCTGCCTCCCTTGGAGCTTCCCTGGCAGACAGAACATGGCAGAACAGGGAGCAGGAGGCAGGAATTGTTTTGCATCACACTGATCTGGGGCCACATCCTGGCTGGCGGATCTTCAGCAAGTCCCTTCACCTCTTTGGGGGGCTCAGTTTCCTCATCTGTGAAATGGGGATAGTAACATCTCACGGAACTAGCACGAGGATCAGTGAAGCAAGTGTGCAAAGTGCTTGCCACACTGCAGGCTTTGGACAAATGGCAGCTCTCATTACTATTAACATCATGTGAGGCCTAAGCCCCTGTCTCTAAAACTGCCCTCCTGTGCCCACTCCAGTCCCTCGGCCCAGTTCAGTCCATTTAGCCAGGACTTCAACAGCCTGTCCTTTAACCCAAGCTAGATTCATGACACCAGAAGAGAGAAGTCCGTATTTATGTCCTCGCTCTCCCACTTGCCTTGTGACTTTGGGCTACCCACCTGGTTCCCTCTGGATCTCAGTTTATTCGTGTGTTCCGTGGTGTGGGGACTGCTTTCCTCAGCACCAGCATCCCACCCCCCACCCCACCCCAGCGCTTTGGTTGAAAACACTTACCAAGAGCTCTGGAAGGCCAGTTCACAGACACTCGGGGTTTCAAAATAGCAGCATTCTCTTTCCTAAATTATCTTCCCAGGCCGCGGGTGCATCCAGCAGAGGGAGGATGGCCAACGTTCACACCTCTGCCTCCCAAATCCAGCTTCACAAAAGCTAAGCCTGTCTGCCTGCCCCTCCCGCTGAGGGCCCCACAGTAGGAGGAGCCAAACCCAGACCCAGGAGGCTTTGGTGATCCAAGAGCAAGCCAGTCCAGAGCCACAGTCCACAGGAGGTCACTGATGTCCCGGGTTCCCCTCCCGGGCCGGCACTAGGGCTAGGGGATTATGACATAGGCCACATAAAAATAGTTTTATCAGTAGAATAAATACATTTCTCCTTTTTAATATGGACACGTATTTTACAAAAGAGCCCCATAGCACTATGGGAAATTAAGATCCTTCTACAAAAAAGAAGATGTAACTTGGGTACAGTAAAGCTCTAGTGTCTAGCCGATCCCGTCTGGACTGCCCTCGAGGTGTTGGGCACCCCTGCAGGTGGTGGCAGGAGCAGTGGGGTGTGGCCGAAGACCCCTGTGTCATTTCTCTGGCTTCTCCACTTGGGGTGGCCGAGGTCAAGAGGGCCCAAGGCTGTGCAGCAGGAAGCGGGCAGCGATGGTGGTGGCAACGGCGGGGAGGAGGCCCAGGGTGGGTGCCGAGCTGCTGGCGGGCCCTGGCAGGTCCTGCTGTTGTAGCTGGTCTGAGGGCTGGAAGAGGGGCTTGGCCGTCCCGGAACTGTGGGTGGGCTGCAGGGGCAGCGGGGGCGGCGAGGCGGTGGTGCTGGAAAGGAGGAAGCACATGGCAGAGTGACCGTTGGCAGTCTCATCCTGGGTAGAAGCCTTGGGGCTCAGATCTGACTTTTTCAGGTCTATTTTGCCTCATACAATGGAGAAGGGAACAAGGAGCTTGAGCAAGCAAACCGGGCAGCCCAGAGCCACACAACCAGCCTGGCTGAGCTCCAGAGTCCACATGGACCCCCTATGCCAGGCTCCGGGGGATGGGCCAGGCCCTGGCAGCCACAGATTGTCACCTCTCAGTCACTCAGATGTCACCACTTGAGAGAATGGGTCCCAGGCAGAAAGAGTAGTGTTTTGGGGAGATAGATCTGGGGTCCCATGGAGTGATCAGCCATCGAGGTAACAGGTGCCTTGCCTGCTGGCTGTTCTCCCCTTGCAGACCGCCAAAACATGCAGAAAACAAGACAAGCAACCGCACTGCGTCCCCTGCCCTCATCATAACTACCGCTTGTTGAGCATCCATCATGAGCTCAGCACTTTACGAGCAATGTTTTTGGTCCTCATAGCAAGTCTTCAAAATGGTCTCATTGCTCCCTTTCCATGAATGAGAAAACTGAAGTTCAGAGAGGCTGTGTGGTGGCTGGGCAGGCTACCTGGTGGTCAGGTCCCGGAGGAAAGTGGGAGTGGGACGCCATGAGGCAGGAGCTCTGGGTCGGTCTTTACTTTGCACAGCTGCAGGATGTGTTTAGTGAAAGGTGCTTCACTAATTTCACTAAGTCCTTCACGAATTTACAAAAACAGAATCCAGTTTCGGAGATAACAGGTGAGATTCTCGGCTCAAGAAAGCCCATGTGACAGACAGAGAGAGATGGAAGGAAAGTCAGGGCAGGAGCCAACTGGAGGCTGACCTGAGCCCAGCACGTGGTGGCCTTGGGAAGCTGGAGGGGGAGGGCAGGGGGACTCAGGGCCAGGTTACTGGCTCAGGTCCAGGAAAGAGACACATAGGAAATGGACAGGCAGAGAGACACAGAGGCTAACAAAGGGACTGAGGAGGGACTGTACAACTACAGAGGCCTAGCAGAGAGGTCAAGAGTCTGACAGGAGACCTGTGGACGAGAGGGACAGGCTCTGGAACAGAGAAACAGGCTGAGCCCAGAAGCAATGGTCATGCCTATCCTCGGGGAACCCTGGGCAGGCAGGAGGCAGACAGAGATGCAGATGCAGACAGAGGAACCCACAAGCCCCCACCCAGAGGGGAGCACCGGGGGGCAGCGGGTAGATGAAGGGAAGGCCAGGAGGGCCTCCCGGAAGAGGGAAGGCCACAGTCAGCCTGGAAGGCAGAGCGAATTTAGTTCGAGCATGGGGGAAGGCACTCCTGGCCAGTGAGAAAAGAATGTAGAGAGCCCTGCCCCCTGCATCAGGCTGTGTGTGAAGTGCTGGCCACTCCTTAACCTTTAGACCTCATGACAACACTGGGAGGCAGGATGACTGTTGTCCCCGTTGTACTTAGGAAGAAACTGAGGCACAAAGGGGTTAAGTGGCTTTCCTCCAGGACACAAAGCAGGGCCAGGATCTGGACTGGGCACACAGTAGGTGCTCACTAGCAGATGGGTGGACAAGAAGCTTGCCCTTCCCTTTGGGCTGGCCAACCTAGAGGGTAGGCTGTAGAAACAGGGCAGGGCGGGCTTCATGGGGTCTGCAGTGTGAGTACCTTCCTGCCATGCTTCCCACTGCTTGCCCCCTCCTCGACAGGCTGCCCCGGGTCACCCTGGGGTGCATTTCCTTGGGCTGGGCCATGAGGTCCTAACAACTGGCCAGAATCACAGTGGTGAGAGCCTATAATCATCACCACCAGAACTCAATCCAGGCCACTGTCCTGGCTGGACGCCTCTCACACAGCCCCGGCTCAGCCTCAGCTAGGCTGGGTAGGCAGGGGAGGGAACCTGGGGCCACCAAGCACACCCTGACACCACTTGGGCTCTTGGTTTGGGAACAGGTGTCCAAACCGCCTCTGGGCACTCTGTCCTGGCTTGATGTATGTCACTAAAGAGAGGGGTCCTCGTTCACTGCCCCGTCCCTCTCTCCCTCTACTCTCTTCTGGTGATGCTCTGGCCTTCAGTACCCCCTGCAGCCTGCATAAAGTTCCTTTCAATCCAGTGTGATGTGCCATGATCTTCTGTCTTTAGAGAGACTCCAAGGAGCTATCAGGAGGGGAGGGAGCAAACTCTTGTCCCACCCAGAGGATGCAGGGATGGTGTTTCTGAGTAGAGTGTGTGTGTGTGTGTAGAATGGGGGGGAGGGCCACCTGGCTTCCAATGCCCCTTACTCACCCATAGAATCGAGCATGTTGTGCCCTCCCACCCCATGCCAGCCTGATCTGGCCTGACTGCTCTCCCCTTTCATGGTTCTCTCAACGCACACCAGCCCTTCCATCACACCTACAGTCTTGCTGCCATTTTCATACTCACCTTTAAGGCCAGACTCAATGCCCTTCCCCTGGAGGCCTTCTTTGATCTGCCTTCCATACCTCAATGCCACCTGGGGCAGTTAAGGCTTCCCCTAAACCTTGTACATTTCTCATCGACCTCTCTGTGTTGTAGTTCTCCATTTATTATACGTGGTTTGCCTAGGTTTCTATACGTAATGTGCTTTGAACAGTGCCTGGCACACAAGAAGTGCTAGATGAGGTTGGCTATTTTCAGCATCATTATTAAAATTTTTGTGTCTGTGTCTCTCCTAATAATAACACCTTCCACTTATAGAGCACTTACAGTGTGCTGGCAGACATTGCTTGGTGCTATACACGTGTTATGTTGTTATTATTCCCCTTTCTAAGGTGTGGAAACTGAGCTTGAAGGACTTCAGATTTCTTGCAAGAGACAGGATGTGCATGGGACAGTGTCTCCCCAGCGTGAGCCAGGCCAAGGAGCTGCCCCTGACTGAACAGATGAGCAAACCACTGATGGAGAGCCCGTGAGCAAAGCGTGGGTGCTTCTGGCTGAGATCTCTCAAACCCGCAGATGGAGGCTTGCTAGGTGGGGACACTGAGGCCTCATCTGGCCTCAGCCCCTGGACGGGATTAGTGTTTGTGCTGGGCAGGGATCATTACCTCAGCCTCTTTCCTCCCTTTCTTTTCTAATGAAAACAAAACCAAATTAAAAAAAAGAAACCCCCACACAAAACACAAGAAGTCCATAAAGACGTCCTCCTAGCTGCTGCCCCAGCTTTTCGGCCTGAGGAACTGTTGGTTTGGTGGGCTGGCTTCAGGAGAGCGGACTGGTGTGCCCCTTGAGGTGCCCAGAGCTGAGGCCCCCACCATCAGAGGGCGAGACCAAGTAGGAGTTATGAATACTATGTCTCACAAGGCGCCCAAAGGCATTTTCTTTCACACTTTGAAAACCAAAGATGAAAACTCCCACTTGGAGCCTGAGCGGGCTTTTTATTGCTTGGAAGGAGTCCCAGAGAAATGGGGTAGGACTGGTGGGGGGTGGAGGACAAGCCCCTCCAAATGCCCCTAGCCCACCTCCTGGGCCTGACTCTGCTCACAAAGCTCAGTCCCCCAGTCCAGATCCCCACCCCTTCCTAGGCTCACAATGGGGGAAACTGTCTCATGGCAAAGTGGCCTCGAAGCCAAACCAAACACTGCAAGTGTTCCCAGGCTCCGCAGAGGGCTGGCACCAAGAGGCCGTGTCGGCTCTGAGTCAACAGGGACCCCAAAGTGGGGAAGAGGCCCTCTGCTTGGGCAGAAGGCAGAAGCCCGGCTCTAGCCTGCAGTGCGTTCCTGGCTTGCTATGTGACTTTGGGCAAGTGCCATCCTCTAGAGCTCAGTTTCCCCATCAACACAATGAACAGGAACAGACCCATGGACTTTAAAATGTTTCCTAGCAGCAGAAGCCAGAGCGAGATCTTAGGTAGAAGCCCAAGGCAGAAATCACAAGCCCAAGGCAGAAAGCAAGGCTGTGTGTGTCTGAGACACTGTCAGTTGTCTGACCATGAGGCACCTCCAAGGGGCTCCCTGGAGCAGGGGCGGATCTTGGCACTAGAGGGTTTCTGAGAGCCATCCTAGGCTAGGTTCTGGGCATCCCGAGACTTCTTGCCAGTACAAGGGGCTGGTGGGCTCTGCCCTGACTGACCTCCTTAGAGAGCTTCAAGGAGACACAGAGAAGACCGGATTTGGGGCACACAGGGCCTGGGTCACAGGTGGCCCTCTGCCTGGGATAGAGATCTCACTGTGCTCACTTAGTGGAGACCCTGTTGTGATGCCAGTCTGGGCCTCAGCCTCTCTGGGCCAAGCAGGTCGGGTGAGAGATCCAAAGCAACTGGTTTGCCTGCAGCTCTGGAGATCTAGGACTTCGGGATATCTAGGGTTCCTCCCGCCTCCACACTTTTGTCCACACGGTCTTCTGTGCTGGGAACGCCTTCATGCTTTGCTCAGCCTCACTGGGCCATGACTGACCGATTCCATCTTGGGCACAGGGCAGACAGGCTTGTTTTCTAATAGCTTCATAGCAGACCATAGCTGGAAGGGCCTATGTGTCCCTCAGATGGGAAACTGGGCCCAGAGAGGAAGCGGGACTTACCAAGATCACTCAGGAGAGTTAAGGCAGGGTCTCCGGACTGTGGCTCCGGGCTCTTCAGTGGCATCACACTGGGAGCCATCTGTCCCTAACCGTGACCCAGGACTTTTCCTGTTCCTGTCCCTCACTAGCGCTAAATGCAACATGTGCCCAACATGTTCCTGTTAAACTGGGAGAAGTTCACAGCACCCACCCAGTGGTTCATTTAAGGGTTCAGGCCGAAGGCCCTTTCTGCTAGGGTCAGGGGCTGGGTCATCTCAGACCAGAGACTCTGAAAGTCACAGGTGTCAATACGAGCTGCAACTGTTACTGAGTGTTACTGGTGGTCCGATGCCAGCTTAAGGTTTACAAGCATCATCTCACATAATCTCTTAAGCCTCAAAGCAAGTAAAAGGGGGGACTGGATTTGAACCCCATTCTGCCTGAATTTGTCTGTTTTCACTCATTGGATGAGCTGCTTCCCATTCTCCTAGGGGCATCTTCTACCTCTAATCTGATGGGGTCCTGGCCTCACCTGGAGACTCCGCCCATCTCGAACCATCCCAGAAGGAGGCCTGGCTGTGCTATGGGGAACTGGAGCTGGAGAATCTGGGGCAGGAGGGAGACACTATGTCTCTTCCCCTCTTTGAGAGCTCTAGCCGTCTGCTCAAACCTCAGGGGAAGCCGAGACCCAGAAGGCAATCACCCTGGGGCACATGTGTCCTGCACCCCTCCCCCTGCATGGTTGAACCCACCAAAGCTCTGCATCTGTCTTGTCACCCACCTCTGTGCCCTGCTTTGGGCCATGCCTGGCACTGGGAAGGTAGTCTCTTGTCTACACCTGGCCAGCATGACTTGCCCAAGGACTTCCAATCTAGATGGCCCAGACATTCTGTTCCCTATTTATGAAACTCTCCTTCCTCTCCCGTATCAGCTGTGGACTTGGAGAATAAGAGCTGGCATGACCTCCAAAGACCTATCAAGGCCCTAACTGCACAAAAGGAGAAACTGAAAGAGTGCCGCGGGTCCCACACTGCACAGAAATGACCTCTGCCTTGTTTTAGAGCACCCTGGTCACAGCCCTGCCCTTCCCCCAAGTCTGGCTCTCAGAGGTGGGGGTTCCTCAAGAATATTGTGCCACTGCACAGCCATCTGCGGACACTCGCTTCATCTGCCCTTTCCATTGGGTCCCCATAAATCATCCTGCCATGGGCTACTGCTTCTCTAAACTTCCTCCAGTGTGTGTTTACATCTCAGGTAATGAGGGGCAGGGGGGAGGCCAGCCTGTTCCAGGTGGTATCCAGGACAGGCGCATCCCTGGCTCACTCCCTCCTTCTCACACTCGCTCCCAGTCCAACCCAGATCTGATCCTCATGGCCTCCCAGCGTAGAGTATGAGTGAGGACTCACAGTCTGTGCTACTGTGTCAGGACAGGGGCACCCACCGGCACTGCGTGGAGGAAGGGAGGGCTTAGCTGGGCCGGGGAATGGGGGGATGGCAACCACATGGTGCTGGGTGATGACAGCGATCCTCAGCGTCAGGCAGGTCTGCCTGACTCTCTGCCTGGCTTTAGGCAAGTTACCTAACCTGCTGAGTCTGCTTCCTCCAGTATAAAATAGGCCTATCTTCCATAATTCTTGACAGTAAAAGGGACAGAATGAGGCAGGTATCTGGCACAGCAGGGAAGCTTGACAGATATCCACTGGTACCCCACTCCAAGCGAGAGAGGAACAAGACAAAGGTGTGGAGGTGGGACAGGGCACCTCAGGTGGCACGCAGCCTGGTGAGGACAGGGCCGGCAGGCCCCAAGGAAGCAGGGTGGTGGCTGAGGCGGCAAGAAGGTGAAGGCGCTGCATCTGGGCTGAGCAGCAGAGTGGGGGACACTGTAGGACCCCAGGCTGGGGAGCAGCCATGCGGGAGGGCACTTGGGGCCAGTATGACAGGTGCAAGATGAGCTGGGAGAGGTGATGGGGAGGAGGGGATGGCTCCAGTGGGGTTTCGGAGGAGAAAAATGAGAAATGGGAGTAAAAGCTCCCCCAAAAATGGTTTTGTTAGAAGGACTACCAATGGGCCCCAGGTCACCCCCAGAAAGCTCTCATCTGCTTCTCTTAGAAAATTGGAAACTTGGGGACTGCAGGAGGGTGAGTCCCCTGGGAGCAACGGAGGCTGTGCCCTGCCCCTGGGTCTCTCAGGGAACTCAGGGCCTGCTCCCCTAGAAGCGGCAAGAAATTTCAACAAACAGGCTGCCAGGCGGTGGTGGAAACTTTCTTCTCCAACCCAACCAGATGGAAGAAAGTTAGCCAACTGCAATTTACCTGCAGGGATAGAGAAGGGGCTCCCTTCTTGCCAAAGAAAAGCTGTTTTCTTCTCCTGAAATCAGGCTTTGTGTTTCGGAGCTATGTATTGTGAGAAGGAAGCTGTTTGGAGTCATTTACTGAAATTTACCTTTCAGATGTGGTTAGGGGCTGGAGGTCCATTGCTGGAGCTGACAGCCCAGCTTCCTGTCACCCCATGGGCTGGCCCCACCACTGGCCAGGTCTCCTGATCACCCTGGTGTGTTGATCAGGGCTCTGAGTGACCAGCCTAATTGGAACTCTTAATGGGCTGCCAGCTCCTTCACTTGCCTCAAGCCTCCTTGGCAGCCGGCAAGCCCTCCCTGCCACTGATTAAAGTGGCTCTCAGTAACTCTATGCTCTCACTCCCGATTAGAAGGGGGCGGCCCATGCTGGGCACGCGACCCGACTGTGTCATAGCCAATATAGCCACAGTAATGCCTCTGCCTTAGGCAGGCAGGGTGATATGGTTAGGCTGTGTCTCCACCCAAATCTCATCTTGAATTGTAACTCCCATAATTCCCACGTGTTGTAGGAGGGACCTGGTGGGAGATAATTGAATCAGGGGGGTGGTTTCCCCCATACTATTCTCGTGGTGGTGAATAAGTCTCACGAGATTTGAAGGTTTTATAACCCCTTTTGCTTGGTTCTCATTCTCTCTCTTTGCCTGCTGCCATGGAGGATGTGGCTTTGCTCCTCCTTGCCTTCTGCCACAATCGTGAGGCTTCTTTAGCCATATGGAACTGTGAGTCAATTAAACCTCTTTTCTTTATAAATTACCCAGTCTCAGGTATGTCTTTATTAGCAGCATGAGAACAGACTAATACACAGGGCCAGGTTCTGCAGAAGTACATTTCTCAGTAACCCAAGGTTCTCTGAAACCAATGCCCAAAGGATCAATGGGCTTGACTCTTATTTGCTAGAAGTCTTTTAAAGACAGTGTGTACCCCACAGTTTATGATAATGGGATAGACCATGTCAACATTTTGTCAATGGCTCTGAGACCTGGCTGTAGGAGATTCAGGAAGTGCAAAGTACAAGAGGCAGCCCTTGAGTCCTTGTGGTAACCCTGGTCAAACCCTCTCCGACTCAGGCCTTGGTTCACCATCTATAATGCAGAGTTTAGTCAGGGTTTCCCAAAGCTACTCAGAAGAATCTCTAGGTGTACACGTAACATACAGATTCCCAGGCCCCTGTCCTGCACATTCTGATACATGAGGTCTGCGGTGGAACCTGATAATCTGTTTATTTAACAAGTAGCCAAGGTGATTCTCTCTAGGGTTTCGGGGGAAAATCCTGGATGGTGATCTCTAGGGTCCAGCTGGAGAGTCTGAGGCTCCCTCCGATAGAGACTCTGAGATGGAGACTCTATGACTGCTGAGCATGGCATATTCAGGGCTGGGCCACTGCAGTGGTTAGGACTCTACCCCATCACTGATGGTCCCTCCCGGGGACATTCCCTGTGCTCTAGCAACACTGTTCACTAAATATGGAGATTCCTGCCAAAAAGTGGAATCCAGGGAAACTCCTCTGTACTGCGATTGCAGGCAGAGGTTGGAAGACAGCATCCTGGTCACAGCAGGACTTTGGTGACAGGCAAGCTGAGGTGGATGGTAGAGGTGGCAGGAGGGGCATATAGGAAGATGACAGAAGGGTCTCCATGCATTAGGATGATTTCCTGCATCTGCCCATTTTCAACAAGGTTTATCACAAATCCCCCATCCGCTCCTAAGACAGAGCCCACAGCTTCAAGGGCATTGATCACCATCGGTCCCGTCTCTCTCTCAGAGCACAGTCCCCTTTGCAGCCTCCCTGCCAGGGTGTCGGCTACTCACACCTTCTAGGCACAGGGAGCTCATGCCTTTTTGGTTTAGCCAGTTTGTTCCATTTTCTCCTAGTTTTACCTCCAGTCCATGGACAAATGGCGCCCTGTTTGTACAGGTGTGTCCCCGGACAGCTGAGTGCAAAGCAGATTTGTGCACTGCGCCTGAAGAAAGCTTCTATTTACTCACCTTTAAGAGGCAGAGAATTGTACTTGTTGTTGAATTGCTTTTGTTTTGAGAATAAAACTAAAAAATCAGATGTGAACGTGCTGTATAAAGCCACCTACCACACTTCCTTAGAGCAGGACTGGCCTGATGACAGTGTGCCCAGCTGTGGGGGGTTCAAGGTATACTACCCTGGGTGCAGATGCCCAGCTCCTGGGCAGACCTGCCCTCCCTGGCTCACCTGTCCTCGATGCGGACCCAGAGGTCATTGAACTGCCGTGGCCGCTGGTGTGTGCTCTGCCTCTTGTGCCATTTCCTCTGCCGGCCAAACTCTTCCAGCTGGCTGAGGCTGTCGGGGAGCAGGAGGTGTGGGGACAGGGCTGGATCCTCATCCTCCGGTGGGGCGGTGGGGGTCACGGAGGGTGCTTCGGGGACAGCAGCAGCTGGGGTCACTGGGGCCGGGCTCGTCGAGGTCCCCTCAGGAGAGGGCGCTGGGCTCTGGGGGGCAGGGCTGGAAAGAGGTAATAGCACATGGGGCACATGTGTTGGAGAATGTCATCCATATGTGGCAGGGAGTACAATCCAATTCAGTGGGAGTTTGTCATGGCAGGAGAAAGTGCCAGGGTGCCCCTGCTGGGCCTGGTGACAACAACCCAGGAAAACCTTGTCTGGCACTGAGAGCCAGTGCTTTGAGTCATGCTTTCATTTGTTGAGTCGACGGATATTTACTGAGTGCCAACCCTGTCCCAGGCACTTTTTTCAGAGGCGGGTATCAGCATGATGGAAACAGACAATGCCTTACATTCCAAAGCAGAAGACAGACAGTAAAACAGGGGATGTCAGACACTGCCAACTGTTGAGGAGCAAAGGAAACAGAGACAGGTGTGAGAGTGGGGGTGAAGGGTGCTGCTCAGGGAAGGCGGTCTGGTCACCAGCAGGTGATATTTGAGCCCAGACTAGGAAGAGGTGAGGGAGTGAGCCCTGGGCAGGTCTCTGGGGTGTATCTGAGCTTGGTCAAGGTCTCATTTATTCAACAACTCTGGCTGAGACTTTAGGTGAGTTAACTAACCTCACTGTACTCCTACTCTGTGAAATGGGGGTGTTGCAGCCTGTACCTCACAGGGTGCTTCATCAGGATTATGATGGTGAACACTGGCAAAGCACCGAGAACAGTGCCTGTCAAATAGTAAGCAGCCAAAACATTTAAGTAATTAATATTATTAGCATTGTGTGTGTGGTTTATTCATCCAACCTTCCATTCATACATTCAATACACATTTCCTATGCACCATTTCAGTGGAGCAAGGACAGTGTTAAGTAGTCAGAGTTTGAGCTGGAGGTAGACTGATGTGGGTCCACAGCCCGGCTCCACAACCTGCAGGCCGTGTGATGAAAGGCAAGTTACTTAATGGTCTCAAGCAGTAATGAGCTATAGCACAAGAGTAATAATACTGCCTACTTCATGGGGTTGTCATGAGGATAAATGAGACGAGGTCTTAACACAGTGCCTGGCACATAAGCCTGTCTTGGATGTTGGCCAACAAGCAAATAGACCTGGCTGTCAGGTAGGCGCTAAAGTGTCATTTAGCCATGGCCCAACAGAATTTGTTTTAGGGACATGTGACCCTGGGAGAAAGTTGGGAATGGTTTCAGGAATTGTGGCTGAGTGGGCAGCTTGCAAGGTTAGGCAGTACCCAAGACAGCAGGCAGGCTGTCTTCCCAACCCACTCTCATACAGCACGATGGGTGAGGAGCTTCTCTCTTTGAAGGAAAGAAGGCCATCAGCTCAGCCTCTCCTCCCCTACCCCCATGGCAACCCCAGATTCTCAGGGTTCAGGCTGCCTGGAGATGCCGCAGCTGCTGGGGAGATAATTCAAAACAGTCAGACAAAAAACTAGATCCAGGAAGCACCTGTGGCCGATGATGGCTTTTATTGTTGGAGCCTCCTCAGCATCCCCGCCCCACTCCACCCTGCCAGCTCCCTTGCTCCCCCGTGCAGGAGGCTAAGGCTGAGAGTCCTTGGAGCAGAGCCCATGGGGGAGCTGTGGGGGCCCCCTCCCCTAATGCCTGGGCTCTGAGATGAATAGGAGGCTCGCTAGCCTCACTGGCCTGCCTGCCTCCCCTGCCCTGGCCAGAACAGACACAATGAGCTTTAAGGGGAAGGTCCTTGGGGCTGCTGGGGTGCGGGCTGGGTTGAGGGGAGAGGAGGGGAACTTGAAGAAGGCTTTGTCCCTGAGGCTACCTTGCAATCCCCACCCCTCCAACACGTTTGCCCCTGGTCCCCAATACAAACTAATGTGTGCTGGACTCAAACGGTTCAGGCAGGAACAGCAGCCTTGACAGTTTGACTCAGAAGATGAGAAGAGGTGGGAGACTGGGATGACGTCCCAATGTGAGGGTTTATCGAGACCTCGGTTCACACTCAGAGCTGGTACAGGGAGTAATAGGAGTTGGCAGTCCTAGAGCCGGACTGCCACTTATACCGCTGTGTGTCCTTCTGCAAGTGACTTCACCTCTCTGGGCCTCATGTTCCTCAACGATAAGGTGGGGAAACTCATAGCTCTGACCTCACAGGATTGTTATGCAGATTAAATGAGTTAAAAGATCTTAGAGCCT